GCCAGGCAGCAGCAGCAGACGGAGCTCTGCGACGCAACGCCAGTACCCAACATCCTCAGCGGCGGGTCCGGCCAGCAATATGCAATGAACGAAGGTAGCGGAGACAGTGAGGGCCTTGCTGCATGCAGGACGGTTGTTTCAGCGGCAGCCCCATCTGCAATTTCTGATGAGTCGGGCTGTACTTTACGGTGCGAGGCTGGCTTTGATGTTGGTTCAGGTCGGCAGCATCCTCATACTGTTGCCCGTGCTCAGCCTCCAGCAGGAGGATGCACTGGTGTTCGACGCGAAAGGAAGAGCGTCGCAAGTGACTGTCATGGCGAACCACAGCATCGTGCACCGAACTCTGCCCGCAGGTGCCGACCCCGCATGGTTTCCGTGATGGTACAGACATGCGAGGATGACGCTCGAGCGCATGTCGACTCGAAAAAGGAGCCTCCGAAGGCAAAACCAGCCAATGAGCCACAACCTCCACGGTTGAGCCTACTAATCCCGAAGCGGCCTCGTGACGAGAGTGTTGAAGCGGTGGATGTGGATGCCTACTCTGCAGCCTGTCATGCCCTGTGGGGTGGGCGCACCCCGCAGAAGGTTGCAGCACCTTCTCTGCGAGATTTCCTGGCTGCAAAGCAGGAGGAGGTTGAGGAAAATTGCGAACCTTCCCCGGGTACTCTGGCGCTCGTGGGCCTGTCACCACAATCCGAGCTCGAGCTCTCGCCCGTCGTGCAGGGAAGCCAGACTGACTTGGTGAAAACGGAGGCAGTCTCCGCGATAAAGGCGAAGCCGAGAGGCGCGCCGAACGCCTCGCTGCCTGGAAGCCCAGATCGCTCTCTTGCTTCGGTGGATTTGCTGTGGAGTCAGGCACTCGACCCGAAGCAAGAGAGCCTGCAGAGCCTGGGCTGCCAGGCTTCTGAGATTTCGCCTGTGAATCGCCAAAGTACACGGCGAACCCTCGATTTCGGTACCCTTTCTCCGCCGAAACACGATGGAGACTGTGTGCCTGCATGGCTTCAGCAAATACATGCTGTCAAGCGAGGGCCGCAGAATCTTGCCACAGAGCCCGAGAGTGAGAAAGGCTTGCAGGCAGATGAAATCCCGACTCCGTGCCGGAGGGCAGGCAGCGCAAGGCTGAACTCCAACGTGAGATGTCAGCCGATGTCGCCCGAGTCCGACACGGAGTCGCGATCAGCGATGCCAGCTTCGCCTGACCAGGAAGCGCCGACAGCCCTGGCAACCTGCCTGGGCATCGCCGCGCCTGCCCCGGCCTCTGTTTCTACGGTCAAGGAAGGCTCCCCTTCGGCTTCGGCGGCATCGACGGCGCCTGCCACGCCCAGTGCGTCGCCTTCCCCCAGAGCACCGGTGCCCGAACAGACAGAAGTACAGGCTTCGCAGTGCTCGGAAGCCCTCGAGCCCTTGGCTGCACCGGTCGAGACCATGGAAGTTTCCGCACCTTCGCCGGGTGAGACGCCTGAGCACACAGCGAGGGCCGAAGAGGGCTCCGATCGACTCTCCGACACGGAGTGCAGAGCTGGAGCCGACGTCAAGCAGGATGGCGCTGGCCTCAGCCAGTTTTGCTTCGCAAAGACCACTCAGGAGGACAGACGTGAAGCCGCGACAGGGAGTCCAAGCCCCTCCGCAGCCAGTGCAAGTGCTGCTCCCAATCTGAGCCAATTCGCCTTCGTGGAGGCCCGGGCCAGGGCCAGGGCCAAAACCACGCAGGCCGAGGCGGAGGCCGAGGCGGAG